CGCCACTGGGGTGGGAGACAATCGGCAGGGCGCGGTGCTTATCCATTCATGGGACAGAGCAAACATCTCAACGCAGCAGGACCCTCCTTAAAAATAGTCTTGGGTCTCATTCATCATCATTATTATTATGATTATATATTTCGCGGTGCGCGTAAACATTCAATCAATATAACGAGCAACGAGCGAACTTATTGTCACAGTATGAGCCCTTATTTTATTTTGTAAAGATATTTCGGACGAAGGCCGCGTCGGTCATGGGAATTCATTTGACCAGACTAGCACCCAGCCGGTTTCGGGCTCGTTGAATGTTTTGTTGTTTGTGCAAAAACTAGACAAAGCAATGACCAGTGCACGATCATTGACGGACATTTCAGCCCTCGCAACCATCGCCATCGTTCAAGGCGGCTGAGCGACGGCCTCATCTCGAGCATGCGGCTGACTCGACAAGGACGAAATTAGTTTTTATCCGGGATAGATCGCCCGTGGTGGATCACGTCAATGTGCGAAGCAATCAACCTCCACCACCCGACAGAGTCAATCACATCGAGGAGGCGAGTGAGCTTTTAGCCAACACCCAGCGACACGATAAAAACGGAGGACGTCACGAAGCTCGCGTAACCTCGGAAAGTCTTTGATGACGGTACGAAACGAGGGCTGGTTGTCTTTCTCCACCCTTTTAGGGAGTTCTTAATGGCCAGGTCAGTCCCGTTGATCCTTAGTCGCGAAAGTTGTGTATCTCTCACTCCCGTCTCTACGCGAGTAAGGACGCATTGACGTTGGACGTTTTAGAGTCGTCGTCACGTGAACGAACACCCCTCGTGAACGCTTCAGCACCCCCGGTGTGCTGGACAGCGATCCACTCACATTTAACAAGCGGCTTACGTACGATCCGTCACTTGCCGGTTGCCAGCTTTGTGAACGTCTCCTCCAGCCTCGTGCCTGCAAAGGAGATTTTCACAGTTCTGCTAATCGCCTGATGAAACCGTGACGTGTGTGCGTTCAACTTATTTTCGCACCGCACGTACGTATCCAACAGTGCAACATCGGAGGTACGGGTGAAATTACTACAAATTAATGCCCCCCACCAAAAAAAAAATTCAGTTTCTAAATAAATGAACTGTCAATGTGCATGAGGCTCACGAACGGTAAACTCACGTGGCAGCGCCGATGCTGTTTAATTGAGCGATTTGTAGTTTGTATGGAGAGCGCGCGATAGCTGGGACATCTGCCTATTAGTGTCCGCAGCGACAAGTTCCATTGGTCGTGCTGGGTCGTTCGTTAGCGGCACCCCCCCCCCGAATGAGCGGCCACCAAACAAGACCCGAGAGCGTGGTTCACAACAGCTCGTTAGCTCTTCTCACACCGCGGCGAAGCGAGTTAAGATTGCGTCCTGGGAAAATGATGAGCAACGGGAGGTTTTTTTTTGTGTGTACAGAGCGAAGCTTTGTTGTTAGCAAGCCGGCGAATGATTCGATGTCGGTGAATGGTGCAAGTCGGGAAATGATTCAAGCCGGTGAATGATTCAAGCCAGTGAATGATTTAAGCCAGGGATTGATTTAAGCCAGTGAATGATTAAAGTCAGTGGATTGTGTAAGCTTACGAATGAAGCAAGCCGATGAATGATTCAAGCCGGTGCATGATGCAGTGAATTATTGAATCCAGTGATTGATTGAAGCGAGTGAATGATTCACACCGGTGAATGATGCAGGCCGGTGTAAAATCATACTAGATAAAGGTGCAGCTCTGCAATTGTTAGCTTAACTATTTCATTTTAGCAGGTAAGGCCCACTGAGCTGTGTAGTTCTTTTTTAGAAGCGACCAGGCCACAATGACAGCTCAACGAAGTGGCTTATCACGTGCAAAATTATAGCAGCCAAATACTCTAAACGCGTGATGTTGATTCTAAATGTGGAGGGAAAAACCGGAGGATCCGGAGAAAAATCCAAGCGACCACGGGAGAGAGAGAGAGAGAGACACGCAACCTCCAAATATACAGCAGCAGGCGTCGTGGTCGGGATCGAACCCACAATCCTCCTGTATACCAGGTGAGGTAGTCAACATCTCGTCGTCACTGCTATCGGAAGGATCCTCCAAGGAGAGGCATCTCTGAAGCGTTCATTGTCCTCTTACTCGTTCCACGCTGGCCAGACGTCTTGGAAGAATTTGGGAGCGCCCACACTTTACCCCACCACAAGCGATTCTGCCGATTGCCGAACTGCGGTGTATCCATTCACAACGCCGGGCGGAGAGAGAGAGAGAGAAAGAGAGGCCGAGGAGGGATTTGAGAAACTTGCCCAGTTGTTTCTCAACTGGGAAACGGTGGGACAGGCTTCTGAAATAAATAAATAAATTAATTAATGGTGCGTGCACGTAAGGATGTTGAAATTCTTCCGGGCCGTACGCAGCCGACTCATCGGCGGTGTTTATCGTACGGGACACGAACACCGTCGTCCCCTTTTGCGGCGGTGCGGTGTGATACGGTGCGGTGTGACGTGGTGATGTGCGGTGTGGTGATGTCTGGTGTGGTGCGGTGTGATGCGGTGCGGTGTGATGCGGTGATGTGCGGTGTGGTGATGTGTGGTGATGTGTGGTGCGGTCCGGTGCGGTGATGTGTGGTAATGTGTGGTGCGGTCCAGTGCGGTGATGTGTGGTAATGTGTGGTGCGGTCCGGTGCGGTGATGTGTGGTAATGTGTTGGGTCCGGTGCGGTGATGTGTGGTAATGTGGTGGTGCGGTCCGGTGCAGTGATGTTGGTAATGTGTGGTGCGGTCCGGTGCGGTGATGTGTGGTAATGTGTGGTGCGGTCCGGTGCGGTGATGTGTGGTAATGTGTGGTGCGGTCCGGTGCGGTGATGTGTGGTAATGTGTGGTGCGGTCCGGTGCGGTGATGTGTGGTAATGTGTGGTGCTGTCCGGTGCGTGATGTGTGGTAATGTGCGGTGCGGTCCGGTGCGGTGATGTGTGGTAATGGTGGTGCGGTCCGGTGCGGTGATGTGTGGTAATGTGTGGTGCGGTCCGGTGCGGTGATGTGTGGTAATGTGTGGTGCGGTCCGGTGCGGTGATGTGTGGTAATGTGTGGTGCGGTCTGGTGCGGTGATGTGTGTAATGTGTGGTGCGGTCCGGTGCGGTGATGTGTGGTAATGTGTGGTGCGGTGTGACGTGGTGATGTGCGGTGTGGTGTGGTGCGGTCCGGTGCGGTGATGTGTGGTAATGTGCGGTGCGGTCCGGTGCGGTGATGTGTGGTAATGTGTGGTGCGGTGTGACGTGGTGATGTGTGGTGATGCGTGGTGCGGTGCGGTGCGGTGCAGGCGCCACGAAGGACGTGGGGAAGATGCTCGGAGGAGACCAGGCGGAGAAGGACCCCGAAGCGCAGAAGAAGGAGGAGGATCGGAGGGAGGCGCTGCGGCAGCAGGAGGAGGAGCGCAAGCAGAAGCATGCCAAGATGGAGGCGGAGCGGGAGCGCGTGCGGCAGAACGTGCGGGACAAGGTGAGAGGTCACGGGGGAGAAGGGGGGGTGTGGGATCAGGGGGTTCGGCGGTGAGGGGGGCCCAGCCACGCTTCAGAAGGTCAGAATCAGAGTCTCGACTTATACTGCGGGAGGAATCCGATGAGATTATAGATCTCTTTTTGCACAGGTGTCCTGTCCGGGGTCACGGGGTCAGAACGTTCCAACAACAACAACAAAAAATACAAATCGTCTTGGTTCTTTCGGTAAAGTCACGTAGAAGGAAAATAATAAAATAATAAAAATAAATTATAATTAAATAATTCTCACGACGTTTCGGCCACAACGCAAGCAGCCGTCTTCAGGTGGAGAACAGGTCTGTCAAGTAGACAGAGTCTGAATGGCACGCCCCAGGCTTGGAGCGACTATTTATGCTGGAATGGAGGGGGAAGAGCGCCTTGACAAAATAATTTGCATATCAAGAGGAATTTGGCATATTTATGGGAAATGCAGATATGCGATACAAAAACACGCTTTTGGAAGTTGGGGCCAGAGTACCACTCGAGTATGGTTCCCGATGGTTTTAGTCAGGGTGTGATTTGTACAATTTTAATAGGCTGGTGGCGTGGGGGGGGGGCATAGAATCGACCAGCGCTGTGAACTACAGTAGAACCCCTCTTAACGACGGTAATTGGTTCCACGAAACCGGTCATTAAGTGATTTGGTCGTTAAACAAGGGCAGGCCATATTCACTTACTCAGCGCACCTATATTTACACCTCTTTCATGTTTATCAATTACTTATTTCTTGGTTAAAACACTAATTGTCTTCCTCACCTTCTTGTCTTTATTTGCGAGCACTTTGGGAGCCGTGCTTATTGATTTAATTAAAGTTTAAAGTCAAAATACACCAAGAATTCAAGAGATGTTTCAACTTCAAAACGCATCAGATAACCTATTGCAAACAATGCCCCAACGGTCATGAATGGACGTCGCTGATTGGCCGTGGCCTTGTCAGAACACTTTGGAGCTCGCCGATTGGCCGAAATTGATAGTCGCGTGTTCGTCGCAAGCCAATCGTTAACAGGGAATGGTCGGTAAGTGCACAACATTGGGCTCTATGGAGGGCCTACACTTCTATACACTATACTATACACTACACTACTATACACTACATTATACACTACTATACACTACACTACTATACACTACACTATATACTACACTACTATACACTATCCACTACACTACTATACACTAGACTATACACTACACTACTATACACTACACTATACACTACACTACTATACACTACACTATACACTACACTACTATACACTACTATACACTACTATACAATACACTATACACTACACTACTATACACTACACTACTATACACTACTATACACTACACTACTATACACTATACACTACTATACACTATACACTACTATACACTACACTATACACTACTATATACTACTATACACTACACTATACACTACACTATACACTATACATTGACCAACACGGCACGAGGAAGCCTTCATCAATGATCGATTGACGAATAATGGAACGTAATAATGATATACTATGTAACACGATTTTTGTTCCTGGGTAGTAAGTGTATAATAGCCATTTTCTATACTTTTGAGGCATAAGCAATTATAAAATAACACTTACTACCCAGGAACAAAATGTATTTTTTTTGTTACGCAGTGATTAAACACGTATATTTGATCATTTCCCAAAGGGTAATATGCACTTTGAAAGGGCCGTAGAAACATTTGGATGTGAGTGTCTGATTTCTTGTGCGAGGAGACCACACACACATTCGCACACACAAAGACAAAGACCCCCCGCATAGCCTTGAAATACTGTTGGGGCAAGTGCTGTTAGCGAGCACCTATTAAGGCCAGAACGGCGCACGAAGGGGTGGGTGGCCAGCACCACGGCCGACCGCCTTGTTTACACACTGCATCCAGGTACTCATTTGACGCTGAGTCTACCTAGGGGAGGAGGCCCAGGACCGGTTCGTGTAATCGTCACCGGTGTTTGTGGCCGTGAGCGCGAATCAAACTCGTGTCGCCGGCTTCGTAACGCAGCAGAGCGCTAACCACGACAGCCCCGACATGGGGCTCGGCTCAGCTGGGCTAAATGCCAGTGGAAAAAAAAAAACACACGTGCTGTGCTGGTCCCGTGCCGGCACGGCTCGGATGTGCGAGTGTAAAAAATGGACCCTGTCAGCGCTGGTGTCCGTTGTTGTGCCCTCCCTCCCCTCCCTCCCTCCCGTCCCTCCCATCCCACCGGCCCGTTGCCGTGCGCAGTACGGCCTCAAGCGGCGCGAGGAGCGGGAGGCCGAGGCCAAAGCGGCGATGGAGGCCGCGTGCAGCGGGGGAGGCGGCGGCGGCGGCGGCGGCGGCGGTGGCGGCGTTTCCGGCGGTGTGGCCGGATCCGAGGGCAGCCTCACCCGCCCCAAGCGGGCCATCCCTCCCGGGTGCGGGGACGCTTCCGACGAGGGCCCTGAGGGAAAGCCTCTTCGAAGCCTTCCTCAAGTACCTCCCTGGGCCCATCCAGGAGTTTTTCCGTAAATGAGCCAAGTGGCAGCGGGGGTTTGGGGGGGGGGGGGGGGGTTTTAAACGGCGCGGTCAGTGTCAAAATTTTTTTGGCAGCTGACCGGCAGGTGAATTGCAGGTTTTCGAGTTGGCGGGGAGGCGTTTGATTGTGGTTTGGGGGGCGGTGTGGGCGGTGTGGTGGTTGGGGGTTTGCGATAATGAGGTAAACATGGAATGTGTGTCAACCCGGTCACCAATGACTGCACAACAAACAAACAAACAGCAAACGAAACAAGCCCCGTCGCATTACGTTTGTTCCTGGCGATCAATTTGGCCAAAAACAAAACAAAATTCCCCGTCGGTGAGAATCGAGACGATCGGTTTTGACTGTCACGCGACGAGACTTCCTCTCGTGTCGGCGCGACGGCCGGGAGGGCCTCGCTGCCACCCTCCGCTGTGCGTGGAGCGGAGGTCACGCGACGGGGTCCTCTCTCCGTGAGCGCGATGGGTCGCGCACGAACGGAAGCCTCGTCCCATGACACCAACGCCGGCAGCACGGCGCGGTAATCGCGGTGGCTTCGGAGATGTTAGCTACCTCGCCTGGTAGGCAGGAGGTCGTGGGTTCGATCCCGACCCCACACAACGCCTGTATATTTTGAATTTGCGTGTTCTATCTCGCTCTCCCCGTGATCACGTGGATTGTTTTTTTTTCCTTCCGGATCCTCCGAATGTTTCCCTCCACATTTAGAAAAGCGCGTTTAGAGTCTTTGGCTGCTATAAATTTCCACGTTGAGCTATTAATTGTGGCCAGGTCGCTTCTGAAAAAGAGCTGTATAACTCAGTGGGCCTTACCTAGTAAAATACAAATAAAATGTTTTAATTGAGTTTTAATTAGGAGAGAGGGGGGGGGAAATGACCAAAAAATAAATGGCGAGCTGAGGAAACGGAAACGACTGGCGGATGAACGTCACCGCACGTGCGCTGCGGTTGCCAAGGGCGACAGGAATTCAATCAGGGCCACGGCTTTGTGACGTCGCCTCATCTCCAGCCTCCACGCTACCACCCGTGACTCTTTGTGCTCGAGTGTAAAAAACTAAAACAAATCTCCGTTCGGCTTCAGCTTCATTAATCGTAGGCCCCCTCTCCACCCCCTCCACCACCACCGACCCGAACGCCAATAACATGTTTCTTTTTCTGCTGCTGCTGCTGAATTGGCCGAAACTCAGAGTTTCCACATTTTTTGACGGTGATTGATGGGGTGGCTCTGAACGCTCACAATAACACACTGGCACTGACTTTCTACGCCTATGCCTTAAGAATTCGGTGCACTGTAAGATGATCATTCTGGGAGGGGGGGGGGGGTATTGACCAGCAATTGCCAATTGAAAATGTTTTCAATTCCAGTTCATGTCACGTCTTCACGATTCCTGACAACTCAACCTTGGCATGTGGTTGCCATGATAGCCTCCAATCAGCTCTTGGCTACGGATCACATGACCGCCTTGAACTCGTGGCATTCATTTCGTGGGACTTTTGACCTCATTAGATGCCGTTCACGATCACGCGTTCAATTTACGACACACATCCAGCAAACGGTTAAGAGAGCAATGGGCAAGCTTTGCGTTGTTTATTTTTTTAGATCTAGGCGAGCTAAGTCACGAATCGAGGTGAAATCTCGTTTGAAATATCGGAACGCAGACACAGGAAAGGATTTTAACGTAATCGCGATTGAAACTGAGCAGTTATGGAACAAATGTACGACACGACACGGGGATGACTGCACGGTGCAGTGGTGAGCGCCCCTGACTTCCAATCCAGAGGTCGCCGGTCGTATTCGATCTCCCGGCGCGGCAAGTTTCTTAAATCTCCCCCTCGCCGCTTCTCCGTCCACCCGGCGTTCGTAAATGCGCTCAGCGCCGTTAGTCGATGAGCGTCAGGTCGCGTAAAGGTCTGTGCGTTGAGAGGGAGATCTCCAAGTCAACGTTGTGGTGATTGATGTTTTTCTATAGGGTGAAAATGGCCAATGTCCAGAGTTTGGACATTTGTGAAAAATGAACTTCATAGCTCATCGGATTCCTCCAAGTCTAAATAACGGTTGTGATTCTGATGGAGTTTACTAACAATTCTGGGCCAATTACCGATGCACTGAGAATATCACGGTCCTGGAATGTACGTACGTATGTACGTTGAACTTCTTTCGCACCGTACATAGCTAACTAATCGGATAGGGACTTGGTGGATAACATCAGGACCCCAGTAAATGCGAGAGATAGTTGCTACCGGGGGAAAGCTTTCTGCATCCGCTCTAGACACGGGATGGAGAGAAGGCGTTCGACAGGGCTTGATCCTTGGTGGGCGCGATGTCTCGTGTGGAAAGCTTATCTCCATCCATTGCGTCTCTACATCCACTACGATGTAGGAAGGTCGTGTTGACGTTTGAGAGTCTCGGGGGGCGGGGGCGAAGGGAGAGCTGTCACCGCCGAGATTCTGAGTTTTAGTCGGTTTGTCAGCTGTCGTATAGTCAGCTGGTCATCTCAGTGTGGTCACCAATGACTGCACACAAACGCACAAAAACAACAACAACCCCCGCACGTGACGTTTTAATTCCGCACTTAATTCGGCTAAAATTCCAGCCTTGCGAAATGAGAAATGTCTCTCTGAATGGCACGCGACGATCATCGCAACCACGTGGCCGGGCAGCCGGGAAAGTGCTGCCCCCCCCCCCCCCCCCCCTCTGGTGTGGATAGGCGGCCACTTGACGAGATGTCAGAAGTGCTTCCGCGATATCCCCTGCCACGGACGGATCCGTCTCGTGCCGTGATGCCAGTTGGTTGGCCTCACCCCGCGCGCAGCCTCCGATCGGAGCGCGGCTGGCGATATCGCAGAGGTCGCAACCGGGTACCCGATACCCGTACCCTACCCGATACCCGGCTACCCGTACCCGGCCGGGTACGGGTACGCGTACCCGTTTGCGACCCTGGTGCGGCCGGGTACGGGTACGGGTAGACCGTGAGTCACTGGTGAGTAACTGTTTGTCACTCATTTCCCAACGTCTTGCCTCTTCTCACAATTCAAGTTCCTAGAATCAACCCACCCGCGCCTGCAACATGGCTTCATCCCAGAGGTCGCAATCAGGTACCCAATACCCGTACCCGGCCGGGTACGGGTAGGGTACGGGTACGGCCGGGTACAGGTACTCGTTTGCGACCCTGGTGCGGCCGGGTATGGGTACGGGTAAGGAATCAAACCCCTGTTTGCGACCTCTGCGATGTCGCGGTGCGCGGAAGAAATTCGACGCAAGCGTCGCACATGCCGCCGCTGCGAAGGCGCTCCGGCCACCGCGCGCTTTCTCAGTTGGCTGGATGCGCTGTGACCATCATTCAATGGGGTGGCCGCGGTGGCTGGGAGATGTTAACTACCTCGCCTGGTATACAGGAGGTCGTGGGCTCGATCCGGACCCTGACGCCTGCTGTGTATGTGGAGTTTGCGCGTCACTCTGTCTCTCTATCTCTCCACGTGGTCGCGTGGATTTTTCTCCGGGTCCTTCTGGGTTTTCTCCTCCACATCGAGAATGAACATCGTCACCGCGCGCTCAGAGTCTGTGGCCTGCTGTACACTTCCACGCGATAAGCTGCAACTTCGTTGAACTATCATTTGGGGGTGTGGGAGTAGAGGGGGGGGAGTTGAGGGGGTGTGGGGGAGTTGGGGGAGGGGTTGAGGGGGGGGGGGAGTTTGGGGGGGTGGGGGATCTGGGTGAGTGGGGGGGTGGGGTAGTTGAGGGGGGGGAGTTAGGAGTTGGGGGGTGGGGGAGGGGGGGGAGTTGAGGAGGTGGGGGGGAGTTGGGGGGGGGGTGGGAATTGAAGGGGGGAGGGGAGATTGGGGGGGGGGGAGTTGAGGAGGGGCAGTTGGGGGGTGGGTGGAGGAGTTGGTGGGGGGGGACTTGAGGTGGGGTGGGGGAGTTTGGACGGGTGAGAGAGTTTGGAAGGTTGGAGTTGGGGGGGGGGAGTGGGGGGGGAGTTGAGGGGTGGGAGTTGGGGGGGAGGAATGGGGGGGTGGGAGTTGAGGGGTGGGGGAGTTGAGGTGTGGGGGGGGGGGAGTTTGGTGGGGGGGGGGGTATTTTTGTTGTTGCTGCTCGCGCTGCGTCCTGGCGCTCTGTGCGGGCTGCGATCCCAACCGTCGCCCGGCCTCCGCCCACGTGGGACGCGTCACCGCCCACGTGGGACGCGTCACCGCCCACGTGGGACGCGTCACCGCCCACGTGGGACGCGTCACCGCCCTGCCACGTGTCCCACGTCGCGGTGCCACGTGCCACCATCGCACTCGACACGGGAGGCTCGCTCGGAGCCACCGTCCCCACAAGTCGCTTGCCATTTGCTCCAACACATTGGGGGTGATGTTTTAGGTATTTTTAACTATGGCTTTTGGTAGGGGGGGGGGGTGTGTGATTGCGACGAGTTTTGAGTGCTTCTTGGTACTAAGGGGCCGTCCATAAATGACGTCACGCACCTGGGGGGAGGGGGGGGCGTCAGACGTTGTGACGATGCGTGACGATGGGGGGGGGGGGGGTGAGAAATGTGACGTCACATCAAAATGCGCAACTTTAAATAAATATAGACAACACGTTCTACTTAATTAAATAGACTTTTTAATAAATGTTTTCTCCTACAACATCAGAGTGCAGAGCCACATTAAATACGCACTACAATGACAATCGTTTAAAGCGATTTGAAGCATGTTTTATTTTTTGGGGGGGCGGCGGGGGGGGGGTGGCAGAGCTTCGTGACGTCATATTTGAGGGGGGGGTTTACTTTTTGTGACGCCGCGTGACAAAGGTGGGGGGGGGGGTTAAAAATCGTCCAAAATCGCGTGACGTCATTTATGGACGGCCCCGACGCCGGGAATGGTTTTAGCAAAGTTTTAGATTTGAAGCTTTCGTGACTGCAAGAATTCATATTCTTGGGGTTTTTTCGGTAAAGTCACGTAGGTAAAAAATTAAAATTAATTAAAGTAAAATAAAATAAAAATCACGACGTTTC